ATTCCTGCTAGAGGAGAATGCATTTTTAAAAACACTTATTTTCCTTTTCTTTTTTTGTATCAGGACTTCTTGTCCCTACAAAAAGGGATGCATGGCTACAGTTAAGAGCAGAGATTGAAGCCCTCACTGACTCCTGGCTGACAAATGCACTTAAATCATTATCAATTATTAGCACACGGTGAGTGGATGATTGATTGATGTACAACAAAATAGCCTTCAGAACAATGCAAACTTGATGTGGAAGAGGCAGGGATTTTTTAATTTAAGAGACTAGCTTTGGGCCTAACCAAATTAAAGTGAGTCTGACTGGATTTCCGTGTAGCATGTAGTCCTTTTCTTGTTGAAGACTACATCCTGTATATATTTTTCTACCTCCTCCATCAGACATAAGGAGTACAAGTACCTGAGCCAGTTCTGTGTAGTGGTAAAAAGTGTGGACTCTTATCTGGGAGAACCAGGTTTGATTCCCCACTCCTCCACATGCAGCTGCTGGTGTGACCTTGGGTCAGTCATAAATTCTTTCAGAGCTGTTCTCACAAGGGCAGTCCTCGAGAGAGAGGGCTTAGCCCCACCTACCTCACAGGGTGTCTGTTGTGGGGAGAGGACAGGAAAAGAGTTTTTGAGCCGCTCTGAGACTCCTTCGGGTAGTGAAGGGCGGGGTATAAATCCAATCTCTTCCTCTGCTGCTGCTGCTTCTTCTACCTTGGCTTAGGCCTTTAAAAAACAACAAATATCTGTTTTTATTTTATACATGCAGAATACCATTTATGCCACCACTCCCAAGATTTTTTTTGAAAATTATTAAACTATTGGCTTGAGTTCCACCCTAAATTTCTACTAATAAAAAGAATGGAATTCTTTACTGATTCCCCCCCCCACACACACACACTGCAGACTTCCCACTCACCCTCCATGCTGTTCCTGGGGTTCCCCTGTTCTCCAAGAACAGCATTTCAGGAGCATTTCGGGCTGCAGAGGGAGGAAGAGGCAAGAACTGTTTCATTGGTAGAAATGCCTTTTATTGGTGAAGATTTACTGCAAGAGCCAAGCCAGTGGACTCTATTAATGCTAGATTGCTTTATTGCTCTGCTGCTTTATTTTGCTGGATGGGTATTATAATCCAAAACATGCTTTTTGTAAATTCTCCAGGTGAAAGTCCAAGTCCCTGTCTGAGAGACTGCAACAAATGCAATTGTAACTCAGTCCTTGACTCTAGGCTATGAACTGCTTTATATGCACTGGTGGTAGCTAGAAGCAGACAAGTATGTTTGACAGTTAGTGGGTTTTCAGTGTAAGGTGGTGCTTTTGTATCCATTACATAGATATCTGTGAACTGTATTTGTTGTGTGGATTGGTCTGTGGTGAGGCTGATGTTGGGTGGAAATTGCTGGTGTCCCAGTGGGAACTCTCGAGCTTCCATTTCACATGTGCAGATGATGAAAATCTCATCAATAAATTTTAGGTATAGGACAAGAGTTGAAGAAGCATTGTTTTAAGCTACCCATGAAAATAAAGACTGTTATAAAATTCAAAGTAGTTGTGGGTGAGGACAAATAAGCAAAGTTTGGTAAATAGTTTTGCTGCAGTATTTTTGGGGAGAGTGCTCTCGATGTCAGCTAGGCAACTGGTGGGAAAGTTAGGGTGCAGGGACATGCAAACAGGAAAGAAATAGGTGCTGTGGCAATGACATGGTGTTACTACTGGCACAGATCCCAAAGTGACATCATCAAGTTGATGTGATAGTCTAGGATTCTACCCAAACTCTGTGTAGACCACAGAGTCAATATAGTCAATAGAGTGGTGGTAGACACCCAGGGGTTCAGGGCAGAATGTCTCCCATAATAGCAGGAGACCTGGTCCTCCTACTTGTAGCTTGACTTTGGGGGGGATGTTGGCATCTACATCCATAATTGCTAAGACAGTGTTTTTCTGAAGATACACTGAAGTTTCTTCAGGAAGTCAGTTGAGAGTGCCAATTGCATAAGGCCTGAGGATGGAGTCCATATAGCCAGTGTGGCTGCGGTCACACACACTAAATAATCCACTTTCAATCCACTTTCCAACTGTATTTTGCCAGTTCACACAGTAAAATCCAGTTGGAAAGTGCACTGAAAGTGGGTTGAAAGTGGGTTTTTTAGAGTATACATGACTGCAGCCTGTGTGTGTGTAGCTCCCACAGTGATGGTGGAGGAACCTGAAGCAATATTTAGAATTGGATTAAGATTTTATTTCAAATCACATATATTACTGATGGATGAGATTTGGATTAATAAATAATGTCATGCACATAGCAAATTTGTTTTAAAGAAATATTTTATCTGTTTTTCCTTATAGGAGTAACTGTGTAAACGTCTTGGTAACAACAACCCAGCTTATACCAGCCCTTGCAAAAGTCCTGCTGTATAGTCTGGGAGGGTGTTTTCCTATTGAAAATATTTACAGTGCAACCAAAATAGGTAAGAAAATTAGCCTTTTAAAGTTTGTATTTTTTTGTGGTTGGGTTTGAAACCCATTTTGCCCTGATAATAGAAGACTATAGGTTGGGCTATAAATTGTCAGAAATATGTATGTATCTATTTATATATTTATTACATTTATACCCTGCTCTCCCAGCCATGGGCGGCTCATGTATGAAGAGTCAGAGGGCTAAAATTAATTGGTAATGGACATAATTACTGTTAAGTACGAGACTCAACACAGCTAGTGAACAGTGAATCAGCTTTATCAGTAAAACGAATTAGTTTATGAATGATAGAAATAGGAGGAAAGAATATGAAATGTAATGAATTTGCAATTATGTATGTCAAAGTACTGATGATTTTTGTGATGTATTTAATGATATGGGTATGTTCATGTGTTTGAAAACTTAATAAATAGATTATTGAAAAAAAAGAAGAAGAAGAAATCAGAACGAGAACAAGAACGAGACAAAAACATAGAGCAACAGGCTCTCTTTTAAACAGTCCAGGCTTGGGAGGCCACGCCCACATGTCAGCTAACAACCAATAACTATTTACAGATAAAGTCCAATCAGAGTGCTTCCCTCCTGAACATTACACAGCTCTGATTGGTCTATTTACAATCATGATTCAGACTCAACCTTAACATAGTTTTCCATACATAACAATTACCACATTTGATGAACACTGTGGCAGATTACAGGAATTCTTTGGTATTTTCACTTAGCAAATTCCTTCTATAGAAATTAGTGTCTGAAGTTTGGTTCAGACTTCATTGGAGTTGCGAGCATCAGAAATCTTGAAGTTAAAAGTATCCAGAGCTTCTAGTAAAGAACACTTTGTGTTCATGACAGCTGTAGAAATGTTAGTGTGGGAAAGGCTGCACTAATGGATAGGTGGTATTGGAATATGTCTATGACAATCAATATGAATTTCATCTCAAGTCCCTCTGACATGTATCTGCACTGTTCTCCGGTGGCAGGGTGCAGCAGTATCAACTTCTGGGAAAGCACCTCCTCTGGTCACAGGCAAGATTGTTTGGCTTTTGGTGAGCAGAGAGGAAGGGCTTCCCTCCAGGGCTGCCGGGGGGGGGAATAAGGAGACAAAATTCAGGGGGGTCAAGTTGGCTAGAGGGCCCCTGAAGCCAGTATCGTGCTGCATTCACAGAACATATTTAATATTTTTTTCTAATGCAGCCACGAGGGGCACAAGGAAGGCAGAGTTTGCTGGTGGGGTCTTTTAACAAAGTTTGCTAGGGGGCTGAGGAAAACTGTTTGCTAATCAGATCTGCTAAACCCATCAGCCAAGCCAGCAATGGCGCAAGGCAAGACCAGCCAGGATAAGCTACAGTGAGTCCTTGCCAGGATGCAGACTTCTAACAAGGCCATTATCTCCACCAGCCTGTGGTTTGTTTTTTTCCTTTAGTTCCACCAAGCTTCTGCACAACCAGATCTTCAAAGGGGCAGCCCTGTTTGTGTGTGTGTGCGCGCGCGCATGTGACTGTGTGTGCACCTGGAAGTCATAGCGACCTCTGGTGACTGACCCCTACTGGGGGCGTGGAGGATATTCAGAGAGGTGGCAGAATAAAGCCTGCCCCCGCATCCCACCTTTGGTATTTCAAGGAGTTCTCACACCCAAGTACTTGGCAGAGTCTACCCTGCTTAGCTTCCAAGAACTGATGAGATCGGGTTTGCCTGGGCTATCCAGGTCAGGGCAAGGGGCAGCTCTGTTAGTATGTAATAGCAAAATAAAAACCAAAATTTTGTTGTTTTTGTAAAAAAAAAATTTATATCAAACAAACAAAAAGAAAAACAAATAAACAAACATACATACATGTATGTATGTTAAAACCAAAATTTTGTTATCTTTTCCCACATTGTTTTACTCTCTTCCTTTCATGGTCTGCCATTCATCTATCTGTACAGTTAATTTCTCTTCCCCCCAAAAAATGGCTTACATCATTCTCCTCTCCTCCATTTTATCCCCACAACAACCCTGTGAGGTAGGTTAGGCTGAGTGTGTGTGACAGACCCAAGGGCACCCAGCAAGCTTCCATGGAAGAGTAAGGATTTGAATCTGTGTTCCCCAGATCCTAGTCTGACATTTTAACCGCTACAAAGATTAGCTTCCATTGCAAATAGCATGTATGGGCGGGAGGCAGTCCAGAGACAATATGGACCAAGATATTCCAGTCTCTCCTTATATATAATTATCTTTCGGTGTGACTCTTTTCTGAACGTTCCACACGCTCCCACAGCCTTCGGCTCCCTAACCTGTCACTCAGAATCTATCCCTGTCCACTGCCTGCATTGCCTGAGTCTCGCCTCCAATATTCTAAACAGTTTGCTGTTCCTCTCCCCCCAATAGCCACAGAGGTCATTTGCATATGCGGCCTGATTGGCCTTTGCCTCTAATATTCTAAACATTTTGCTGTTGTTGTTGGGAGTCATTGAATGTGTCCTGAGGTAAAATACAAATCCCAATTTTCCCTTAAACGGTCACTGGAGTTGCCAAAATACATATCCCAATCTTCCCTTAAATGGACACTGGAGCTGTCAATCTCCCTGTTGAGACTGGAGATCTCCCAGAAATTACCGTGTTCCCCAGCCACAGCACATCAGTACCCCTACAGAAAATTTCCCAGCTATTACAATGGCTGCTTTGGGCAAGATCAGTTCTCCTGGAGAAAATGGCTGCTTTGAACAGTGGACTCTATGGAATTATACCCTGCTGAGGTTCCTCCACACCCCAAACCCTGCCCTCCCCAGGCTCTACCCCTCAAATCTACAGGTCTGGCCCTCCCCTTAGTGTTGCCAGCCTCCAGGCAGCACCTGGAGATCTCCAAGATCAGTTATCTTGGAGAGAATGGCTGCTTTGGGCAATGGACTCTATGGTATTATACCCTGCTGAGGTCCCTCTGCACCCCAAACCCTGCCCTCCCCAGGTGCTACCCATCAAATCTACAGGTCTGGCCCTCCCCTTAGTATTGCCAGCCTCCAGGCAGCACCTGGAGATCTCCAAGATCAGTTCTCCTGGAGAAAATGGCTGCTTTGGGCAATGGACTCTATGGTATTATACCCTGCTGAGGTCCCTCTGCACCCCAAACCCTGCCCTCCCCAGGTGCTACCCATCAAATCTACAGGTCTGGCCCTCCCCTTAGTATTGCCAGCCTCCAGGCAGCACCTGGAGATCTCCAAGATCAGTTCTCCTGGAGAAAATGGCTGCTTTGGGCAATGGACTCTGGCAGAGGAGGAAGTGCTTTTCTACCTTAGCTGCCACTGCATAACCACAAATCAACATAAGTGAGGGAACCATACCTGTTACCATGAGGCTGTCCTCCCATACTACCCACTTGGGGCAGCAAAATGACTTGAGACAGCTCTGCCTTACAGCTAAGCAGAAGGAAATAAACATGGCTTGCCTCCCTCTATTTTCCCCTTCCCTCTGCCGCCCCACCAGCCAAAGTCGAGACACTCACCTGGAGCTTCCTTCTAGAGCTCATTGTATTTCTTCCCACAACGGGCCTTACTCATAGTTGCTTTCATATTTTTGGTCCTGGAACTCCTACAATCATCCTGAAGCAGGTGGACAATTTTGAGATTCCTAGTTTTATTTTCTGGTGAGTTATGCCTGCCACAAACGGACAAAGAGATGGACATGAAGATCCTTTTATTATTATAGATGCATGATAACAGCCAGCCAAGTGATTTGTTTTGTTATGATATTTGGTTTGAATCTGCGTTGTATCATGGGCCCACACAGAATCTTTGTCCGGGGGCCCATGGGGACTCTCAGCAGTTCTGCCTCCCTCAACAATCCTCACTGGCCCTGGCTGGTTAGTAGATAGTAGGTCATAGACTGCCCTTTTTGTAAGCAAGACAACTCCCCACACACCGCCTTTTCTCTTTTCCTGTCAGGGGCTCAAGTCTCACTTTTCAGGCAAAGTCCTCACGCATGTGAGCTTCCTTCCTCACCTAAGCTGCTTTTATCTACAAAATGCTCTCACTTAATAGGCTTTGCTGAGGTTTGCTTCCCTCCCTGCTATGATTGGCAGAATCATATGGATGAAGGACTCTTGGAGCTAGCTGCTCTCCACTGTCCAGTGGGAATGTAGTGTTGACAAGTGCTCCTGGACAAAGGCTTCATGATCATGCACGCCCCCCTCCCTGCTCCTGCCTGGAGTTTGAGTAATGTTTACAGATGAAGCGATGCCACAGTTGCTGGCCTCACAGAGGGAAACTCCCTTCCCTTTTTTGGCCGGGTGGATTGTGTAAAAGAATGGCCTTGCAGAGGTGCTCTGGGACAAAGGGAGTCTTCCGCTGCCATGTCCCCTAATGAATAGAGGACTTGCTGCAGGACTTATCCAGCAGTGTCCAGTGGCACCTGTACAGTATTTCTAGGAATAGGGAGGTGAGATATACACTCGTTAACTTGGTTTCCCTATAGAGCATTAACACACACAGTCATAGTCACAGCAAGCACGGGGCCTGTGCAGTTTATGCAACATAAAATAACATTTCATGGACCAGTGCTTCGCTTGTTCTTCATCTCTTCCCATGACAGAGCTGACTATATAGGCAATCTAGGCAGTTGCTTAGGATGCTGAACTTTTAGGGGCACCAAAAAAGCCCTGTGCTGAGCTTGGGTGTGATCGCATGAGCAGTTTGGCCCAACCCCTCCCCTCCAGATTAAATGGGTGCAGTCACACAGCCATATCTGTCAGGCATACTTGCCCCAGGCATACTTGCCCCGTTGTAGGATGACTTGCAGCCAGGTTAAAAAGGCACCACATCACAAGTGGTGTTTTCAGTTCCCTGCACATGGGGGAGTGCACACAGAATGGATTGGCAGTCTGAACCTGCAGATCTATTTCCACTGCTGGGGTGGGGCTTTTGGAGTTTTTGCCTGTATGTGCATGAACTCACCTGCATTTTCAAAAACCAACTGTGGCTGAGGTGCTGCAGTAATGTGGATGCTTGACCATGGGAACATTCTTAGATTCTCCCAGTTCTGGGGACTTGGGAATTGAACATAATCCAGGATGAATGCCAGGTGCATGGATCTCTCTGTATTTTTAGGTGGGGATTCTTACCTCTCAGGAGCACAGGGATGAAAAGGGGACTCTGACTCTTACTTGCAGCACATCAGCAAGACTCAGGGCAGTCACCATAGTATTTGTGGCAACAGTGGTATCTCCTTCAGTGGAACGATCTACATGAGTTTTACTTCCTAGACTGTGTAAATAGCTCATCCTAGGTATCCAGGATGGAAGTTCACAGTAAGTGAACAAATTTTCCTTTCTGAATGCCCTGCCTTTGGAACATGCTTTTTGCCTCTTTTCTAATCAGATCTTGAGCACAAACTTCTGACACATTAAAAAGGTTAGTTTCCTCTGCATCAGGATTTACACACAACCTCATCATTATATGGAGATCAATATATTACAGATGGATAGCACTAATACATTGCTAATATCTAGTATTACCTCATTTAATCTTTACCTGGATAGGGCTTACTGTACCAAACGTTAGTAATTTAGAATTTTTCATCAATATCTGAAAGATATGTACCAATAAAACTGTTTAGTCAAGTTCAAACAATTCAACCTCCTTTCCTCAGTTTTTTTTTTTTGTTTTTTTTTGGGGAAGCCACATGCTGCATAAACTTAGTGTTTGGATTGCCATGGCCCTTTGTAGTACTTTCTCAGCCCTTTGCAGTTCTTTGTGATACCTATTTTGATAGCTCAAATAAGTAGTGCATTGTTTTTCAGGCAAAGAAAGCTGTTTTGAGCGTATAGTGTCCAGGTTTGGCACTAACATAACTTATGTTGTGATTGGAGATGGCCGAGATGAGGAGCATGCAGCTAATCAGGTAACTTCTCTCTGAACTGTTTATCTTATTTATCTTCCAGGAAAAGAAAGTTGCTTTGAACGAATAATGCAAAGGTTTGGCAGAAAAGTAGTGTATGTTGTAATTGGGGATGGTGTAGAAGAAGAACAGGCAGCAAAAAAGGTAACCTGTCTCATGAAATGTTGGTGTGATACGTAGATATTGATGCAAGCTTTGCTGTTTGCATTTTTGTTAGTATGGCACATTGGCAAATAATTAGAATTGATAGATGCCGAAAGCCAAAAAAATATAAGGCCTACATTAAACCATTTGGATTCTAGCATATACTTTATGATGAGTAGTAGGATACACAGGTAAATCCAAAGTGTATTGATGATAGATCTTCAAAGAGCTAAGTGACTTCAAATGAATGAAGTCTTCAGGGTAGATATGACAGAGGTGATCAAATAAGAGGATCTAGTGAAATTTCTTGAATAAATGTTGAAAACCAAAGTGAAGCATGTAAAAAGTCAGCCATCATGAAGCAAAACTTATAAAATTTATTTGAAGAGGCTAGTTACAAAAAAAATGGTTTCATTTCCATGATAAGGTGCAGTTTTAAGTCCATTTACATGCACAAAGCTTCCACTCTACTCCAGTGCACCAAATACAGAAGGTTTTATCAGCAAAGAGACTCATATGCACAGTGAAGCTACTGTATCCCTAAAGGATCATTAAATTTATGTGCCATAGTTTGCATTTGATACACAGGGTGCGTTCAGACGGCATGCTGAGAGCGGTATAAACTGGTCCAGTTCTGACGCGATTATTTTTGATCTGGATAATTGCGATCACCCTTCCCTCACCGCGTAGTCACATCGCTTCCCAGCATCTACACTACTGACATGCCACTACACACTTTCCCACCAAAAGTATGCCCTGAGGTGAATATGTGAAATGAGTTCCGGCACAAGACAGATACCTGTGCTTCCTAGGTATTATTTCCACTTCAATCCAACCCCTCTAACAAAAAACTTTCCTTTAAATTTTTGACCCAAAAATGGCCTCTGTGAGATCCCGAACTCATCTAAACACTAAAACGAGTGAACGATTAAATGTTGGTTTTATAAACACGGAAGCGGAGCTCCGCTTATGCGCATACCGCCAATACATTAAAAAAATGGCAGGTGAAAAGCGGAAGCCTCAGGCAGCTTTTAAGTGGGGAGGGGGTTTAAACCGGAAGTGGCTTGACACCGGAGGAGCAATCACACAGGGGGGAAATGCAACTTTAAACGGGAGAACTGAGAAACCAAATAACCAAGTAACAAAATACTCCAGGTTAAAGGGGTTTTGATCAGGATTGGGACAGGAGGCAGATTTTGACTGTGTGATCATGCATATAAAATCGGTTGTTGAACAGTCATGACACCAGATCAAACGGCGCATCTGAACATACCCAGAGCACTACAAGGAACTCTGTGTTGTGTATTTGAAACAATTGTAGGGAACTTGTAATAGCCGAGTAATCAATGTCCTTAAAGAGAACTAGTAGCAAATTAGCTTGAAATCTTTTTTTAAAACTCCAACACATTCCCCATTTCAGAAGAATAATCAGCAATGTGGAGAAAGCATATATTTTGTTAAAAGCATTTCAGATGCTGACCCAAAATATCCAAAACAATTTTCCTTCCAATTCCAATTTTGGAATGCTAAGAACTTTATCTCTTTTTAATATCAGATTGTAACTGCTGCCTTTGCTGTTCAGCAGCTTTTTAAAAATGCAGGTTCCAAATGGTTGCTTTTAATAGATACAGTACAGGTGCTGGGAGTGTCATAGTCTGCTCAGAAAACCAGGTGGTTGGTTTCTGTACTTTACAGTTGGCATGCTTTCCTCTAACTGTACCAGTTACTTGCATGAACAGATTTGGAAGAATAAATTAATGCAAAATAGATCTGAACTGACTGTAAAAGTTTTAAATTACAGGTGACCCTGTTAACATTCATACAAAAGGGTGTTGATCTCATAAAAGTCATTTTTTCACTGGTGCGGTACATACTGTGTGATGAAATCAAAATCTGAATATAGTAGTTGATGAGAAACATAGCTCTGATGGCTTCTGATGGTCTGCTCCAACATAACAAGCACCAGCAAGCATATCCACACCTTTACATCTCTTCCAGTGGAAAAAGAGTGGGCTCCAATGTGAATGCATCACTTGCACTGGACATTTCCATTTTTGTTCAAGCGTTAAATGGAAGTGCAAAAACAGATTCACTAGGTGGTCATCTATTGGCTTGTTAACATTTATTGTTAAGATATTCTATAAGCTGAATCTGCTAGAACCTATTGAAGCTTCCTGCAGCAATTTTCTCTATATTTTTTCCCAAACTGGGAAAATGTGGTTCATGATGGTTTGTGGTGTGCCCAGTTCGTGATGTGGTAGAATGCCTCTCCCCCCCCCGGTGTGCTAGAGACACCAAACTCACTGGGGATCTCTGGCTGACTCTCCTCTACCCGGCCTTCAAGTTTGGGGAAGATTTGATTTACTGGGTCCGAATTATGGCCCCCAAAAGAAGGTGCCCTCATCCTCCATTGTTTCCAGTAGAGGGGAAAAACAGCAAAAAAAAAGCAAGGGCAATAGAAGCGCAGCAGAACAGAATTAAAGTCCTAGAGAATCTCTGCAGTAGAAACTGAAGGTGGTGGTGGTGGGGCATTTTTGCAAGCCCAGCAGAATCCAGCGCCATTGTGGCAGTGCAAACTCAGCAAGCCTGATGTCTAGCATAGAATCACACTCCAAGCAAGGGGGGGTGCAAGCCCAGCAGAACCCAGTGCATTTGTGGCAATGTCAGCTCAACAAGACTGATGTGAAGTACAGAATCATGTTCCAAGCAGGGGGGAGGGGTGCAAGTCCAACACAACCAGTTCAGTTCACAGAATGGCCAGAAGAACCACTGTAGCAATGTAAGTAAAAGAGGACTAATGTCAAACCAGAGAATCCCTGCAGTACAAACTGAAGGGGGGGAGTGCAGTACAAACTGAAGGGGGGGAGTGCAGTACAAACTGAAGGGGGGGAGTGCAGTACAAACTGAAGGGGGGGAGTGCAGTACAAACTGAAGGGGGGGAGTGCAGTACAAACTGAAGGGGGGGAGTGCAGTACAAACTGAAGGGGGGGAGTGCAGTACAAACTGAAGGGGGGGAGTTTTTCTAAGCCCAGCACAACCAGTTCAGTGTACACAATGCCCAGCAGAACCTGGTGCCACTGTGACCCAGCAAGCTTAAAAGGACTGATCTCAAACGGGGGGGAGGGTAGGGAGCGGATTTTGCAAGCTGTATGCAAGAAAATAGGAAGGGAACACAAAGGAATGCTGGCAAAGGTGGGGGGGGGACCCTCTTGAAACTAACATGACTAGTTTGAAAGGGACAAGAGTGTCCAACGCCAGATAATTCCGCTGCCACCCTCTGTTGCTTTGAAGTTTGGTAAGTATTTTGTTTGAGTGTAGACAGTCTGTCTGGAAACGTATCCATTAATGAACTAGCACAAACCTCCACAAACTGCTTGGAAGTTTGTGGAGAGTTTGTGCCAGTTGACCTCCACAAACTTAAGTTCATGAACCATGAACCAGACAAAATTCATCACAATCATGAGCCAGTTTGTGCCCATTGCTATAGATGAGCTTAAAAATACACCGGAAATTTTCACTTTGTAAATTGCTATTAGTGACTGCCTCATAAAAATAACAGCAATTGTTTTCATTATTCCACCCTCAATACAAAATAAACAAAATTTACTTGAGCACGTTGCTGTAAAATTTGAGTCCAGATCTATTTTGGTTTGAATTTTTGTCTGCTTCTTAAGAAATAATCATATAAATCTATGATACTTAGCTGAAGTATATAAACAGCAAATTTAACTGTGTATCATGTATATTGTTTCATTTCTCTCCACTTTCTTTTCTCACCCCCTTGACAAAAACAGCATAATATGCCTTTCTGGAGGATATCTAGTCACTCGGACCTGCTGGCTCTACACCAAGCGCTGGAATTAGAGTATTTGTAACTGTCACATAACTGACAACTTCGTTTTTATATTTCAAAGTACACTGATTTTTTTATGTGTGATCCAATGCCTCTGGCTTTACACATATGTATGGTCTTAAGAAGGAAAAGAAATATTTGGAACAAAAATTCCAAAATGAAGAATCCAGATCACTGAATGGAATTACAACATTAATTCTACACAAGGATGCTTTATATGGTCTTATATAAGCAACATTTCTGGTGATTAAAAAACAATGAAAGGAGGTTGCTGGTACACACCAAATGAGCCCTAGCCAGAGTGAACAGCTTTTTGCAATGGACTCCAAGTGGGAAAGCAATTATATGCATTTTCTGATCAACAAGGGTGGTATCAAAACATTCCTCACTATGAGATATATTCTCAGCACTGAGGTTTGAATCAAACTTTAGTCTACCTAACCCAGAAAATCTGAATTGGAATGCACTCAGACTGTACAATGACAATCCTGTCTAGATCTGTAATATCTGTAAATTATTGATGAAAATAATTTACTGTGACTTTAATTAGCAGCTGACTTCGAAAGTGGATGCAATTTGTTTAATTTGGGGGGTGGGTGGTATGGGAGGGTATATAATAATTATTGTCTCTTTTATACATTTGGCAAACAGAATGTGCATAATGATGTGTTGTGCCTTAAAAGACAAGATCTTTGTGTGTTACAATGTAACATTGGTTTAAAGCAATGTAGATAAAATAAATCTTTGTTATAGTTTTTGACATGACCAAATTTCAAATTCAAACAATCAAAAAGCAGTGCTTGCATCCAAAGCACTTAAATATTTGTCACAGTAAGAAAAAAAGTATAATTGAAAATTGAAATCTTGTGTTTTCCTTTAGTTTCTTAATAATTCCACTGAATGTAGGATGTAATTTAAGAGAATATCAGGATGCTGAAATGATACTGGGCACAGTACGGGAAAAATCAAAATGGCTTATTTCTTGAGAACCTCTTATCCAGTCTCACCTTTAAAAATCAAGAGCCATATTTATGGATTATTTGCACAGCAACACGATTCATTTTATGAAGAGTGTTTTAAAAGCTGTAGACTACTTGCCATTTACTTATTATCAAATCATGTTTTAACATATTTAATAGGCAATAAGTTAACCAGTAAACAGGAAAAATCAATAAAACTAATTCAGAAAGGTAAGGGGAATTCTAGCCCCATTCTAGATGGTGTCAAGAGGAGCCCCAGATAACCCAAGTAATAGTGCTCAGTGTTGGGAAGCAAGAAAAGGAATAATGTGATATAAGTAGTTAGCCTGCAGGAGGAGACTAGTATGGGATTACAATGGAGCTCTCTTTCCTTCCTCTCCTAGCTAGCTGTTAATCTCACATCATGACAGTCTGCTAGCAAGTACTTGCAACATTGGACCTGTGTGTATATTCATTCTATTTATCCAGTCATCTGGTCCACTCACATACAGAGCCCTTATCTGCAAATTGTTCCTACTAGGGGTATGTGTGCTACTGTAGGCTACTACCTGCAATGAAAGGTCATTGTGCACTCATACAGCGACTCCGTCTCTTCGTTTCCAGGCTCCTGTGCACAAATTACCCTCTACTGTAGAGATACAGAACTGGGGCTGTGCCCTGTGAAGGAGAGACATGAGGCTGAATAGCTATATGGGAGGTGTGCATGGGGTTTCCTGTTGCAAGTAATGTTACAGTATGGTATGCATGCATGGCAGATGGTCATCAGGAGAGAAGTGGGGAAGATGAGAACTCCATTGACCCCTATGCTTATCCTCTCAAATGGGTGCAGCTGCATTAATGGAGTGGTGGATCATGCCTTTGGATTTTAGGTTGCTGTTGTTTTGTTTTGTTTTGAAATTCCAGTTTGTTGGAGCAAAAAGAAGTGAAATTGTGTAGAAAATGCTAGCACAGAACTAGTATATTTCATTGTGATAAATCGTTTTTGCATTTCTTCCTGTAGTGTACCAGGTCAAGAAAAGGACGGAGGGTTATATACCCTTCCCTACCCACCTTATTTTCTACTTTATGGTTCCAATGCCTTAATCTATCTCAAAGATGACATTTCTTCAACAGGTTTTTGCAGCTAAACAATAATACGTGTTGACACATGTGCAGTCCTAGGGTGTGGTTGACAGTATATTGTTACTCAAAAGAGGTTGAGAAAGCAATGAGTTTTATAGCCTCAGAGATGAAGAGGCGCATATGCAGTTTTGTCTTAAAAAAACAATCTGTTTCGCCTGTACTGTGAAAAGTAATGCATTCCTGTTCTCCAGTTAGTAAGATTCTTAGATAAACACACAAATGTAAGAGTTACTAAGGAACCCAGAACAAGGTACGTTTTCTCCCGAGGGGGCAGCAAAAGAGGACAGAGCAGTTGGCATTCAGTTAAGACATATATTTCACACTAACTGCTCAATAATGAAAATTAAAAACCTAAACTTGCTGCAGTTTCATTGATTTCCTCAGCTGCATTATGTCCCACATTAACAAAATTCACAACCAGCAGAAGGGGGGATAAGTGCTTCTTCATGAATGCAGTGAATATTCATTGAATCTCTCCAAAGATTAAAAAAATGACTTTGCCTCAGAGTGGCCCAGTGTTGCTGATTGTTTTTTCCCTGTTGAACACTAATCATAGTACCAGAAAGAAATATTTAAATCATAATTTCAGATCGCTAACATAACAAAGTTTGTTGTTGTCTATTGGACATGGAAAAACATATGTTCCTGGGGTGCCTATAAGGACAATTAGTCTGTGATCTGAACAAAGTATCTCTTAAGTGCAGTCTTCCAATAATGTATAGTATACTTAAATACTCTGTCTTGTCAAATGTAGCTGCAAATGTAGACTTCTTTCTTACGCACATTTTTCTTTAACCTTTAAAAAATCCAATTGAAATTTATTAATTGGAAAAAAAATTCTGTTTGCATTTGTCAGCAGTATATGACACGCAGAATATGAAAACAACCTTAATTTGAGAAAACAACAAAATGTCATTATTGGGTCTTTATGTTATCAGCCTAAAGTCATTCACACGCAGCAGAGTGATATAGGGTCCCTAATAATATGTTCTGTATTGCAGTCCCCAACAGCAGAGTGATATAGGGTTGTTCTTCACCGGGTCTCTTGTATGCTGTTCTATTAATATTCTGGTTCACAACATTTCATATTTATCTCTGTATCTCATAGCTGTAGAAATACCAAGGGATCAAAAATTGCCAAACTTCTAGATACAGAAATAAACTGTGTCAAACTGAGCTACCAAGTGACAACATCTGCATGAAAAATGGGGTTGCTATTAATGAACACTGAATTTCGTCTAAAGCAAAATTTGAGACAAATTTTGAGAGTCCTGTTTAGGTGAATGTCTTCAAGAATTTTATCAGAATTTAAAAGGGAATTATGAGATAACGGAGAGAATTTAAAAGAACTGCCATTTAGTGAAATTTCTCAGACAGGGGCGGATGAGGATGCTTCACACATTGATACCTAATTCAGAATTTAAGATAAATCAAACTATGGTTTTGTGCAAGTTGAAATTTGGTCATTTGGATTTTGCACGCACTCTCCCCTGTCATACTTATCTTCCCACATGGAAGAACAACATATTCCATATTTAGAAGCACTGTGCAATTAAAAGAGTAAACATTGTGCCTTTGCAGTTGATGCACCAGTATAAATGGAAACAGCACTTAAATATTAAGCACTTTGAATATTGTGCTCGGCATACAGAAGTACAGCACAATTGGATCTGATGTAAATACTAAGAAATAAGGGATAGATTGATTCAATTCAGTAAACCACTAAGATAAAATTTGGAAAAAAATGCAATATATGCAGATTGTGCACAAAAATGTATGGCATGATCTATCGTCTAGGGCTCAATGGAGCTCTCCTCCTTCCTTTTCTCTTCCCTACTAGCCTGTGGCTGAGAACCCAAGCTTCACCATGTGCCAGGCATTTCATGCTGTGAGAGGTCCATACGTGGCCTGGTCCTCCTAGGGGCACATGTGCAAGCTCTTCATCATCTGCTTCTGTGAGTGGTAGAGGATGGGCCATGTCCACCATACTGGTGGTCCATTATATAATGGTTCTTTAGTAGTGAAACTCTGAGCATATAGAAAGAAGTAAAACAATAAATTGTAAAACAATATATTTTCAGACTGTACATGTAAGGGGGATGTGTCCAAAATCAACTGTTGAACTGAATGCTCCTGAAATAATAGGTTGAAGTGCAGAACCTGATCTGAATCTTTCCATGGGTTGAAGGAGTATAGGCTGTGCCCACTACAGTTTTAGATATGGTTTTCATTTCAAAGTTATGTCTTTCCTTTTTCTTTTCTTCTTTTTTTTTTTTTGGAGCCATGTCTAGATGCTTGAATTAATGTGATAGAGAGGAAATTAACTGACATGAGCCAATATTGCATTTGAACTCCCAGCAATAGCAGCCTTGTGGAACTGTTGAAGCCAAGGGTCTATGTAATGTAAGTCATAGTTTGTTTGGGGATAACATTATTTAAGAAAATGTAAATTAATATTGAAGCTTGTAAAAATGTGTATATCTTTACTATTTCTCAATAAATACATGTGGAAATATTGTCATTTTCTGCACCATCACCATGCTGCACCTTCTTTTATTTCCAGTTTGAAATTGCCATATTTCAGCATACATGAACTTGGGCTGAGTACACAATATTGCTCTGACTAAAAGAGCATGTACAGAGCAGGTAGACCTGCACATGTCCCTTTCGAAAAGGCTACAATCTTGCTAACCTTGAGAAGACTCCACATACGTAGCTCCGACTGTTGGATTTATAAGAGGAGCCACATGCTGACCAATTCGTACACATGGTTCCCATCCAACATGTCACATCTTTATGCTTCACTGTGCACAGTTTCCTGAGCTAGATTGGGGGAAATAGCTTTTCAGAGACATGCCTGCATTTCAGACTTAAACTGGTTTGTTTAAAACTCATTCCCTCTCAGGATACTGTAGTTCTGTACAGGAATTGAACATCTGCAGGTTTGCCTCATGTCCTGTTTCCAGTTGTGAGCAGGATG